GGATTCTCAAATAAAGCCTTTTGTTCTGAAAAGATTTTGACGTCAAGGCGGCGGGGGTAGCGATGTGGAGGCCCATTTACTTGGATCGATTACTCCTCTACCGTTATTACCGACCGGAACACGAAGGTGACTTTGGTTTTTTAGTAGTGTGCTTAATCGCCCCCACTAGTTCTACCGATTTACATCAAAACAGAATGTGCCGTAATTTTCTACCCCCACCACAGAGGACCGGTGTAAAGTGTCTCCGGAGGTTGATCGGCGTATACTGCGCCTAGAGGACTTGTTTAAAGCATTTCCAACCGTCCCGATGAACATTGACATCAAAGTGGACAATGATCAGCTGATTGCCAAGGTAAGATTCATATCCGTCTTGTTCTTCTTCTGCTATTGCCTCATGCATATACTGGTAGATTCTCACAGTCGCCCGTCATAAAACTAGACTTCGTTTCATCCTACTCTTGTTTGAACTTCATATATTTCAGGATATCATTTTGTGTACCGTCAATACCACTTTTTTCTCCAAGTACTACTTTTACTTTTAATAAATATGCAGCTAATGTGCCTGCAGTTTTTGGCAAAACGATTTTTATTTCCGTATGACAATTTTTCTCCCAATCTTAAATTGTGGCCACCGCATCACACTGTCGCGGTCGTATGTTGAAACATTCTCATGTGATCTACATTTATAGTCTCTACTGGCTGCTTTCTGTATGTAGAATGGCCTTTCGTTGAGGGAGTCTTTTTTAACTGGGAGGATTGTAGGCTTATATCCGGGGTTTTAATCAGGTTGATGGGACAGTGTTTTGCCAAAGGAATACACTGGAAGAATAGCACGGACACGACCCTGTCGAATGAATCACAAATATATCTGGTACAACTAGTTTCAGGACACAATGCGATACATGATACAATGGAATGAGAACACCAGTCGGACGCCAACACGCTTCTTGCTCGAGAGATAGGTATGAACTGTACCAAGGGAGTACCTCACCAGCCACGTTAGTAACCTAACCATGCTCACCGCACAGAAGTATGGCCTTCACTACTAGCACCGTTTCCCTTTTCCTAGTTACACAGTTGATAACACAGAAAGTGAAAGACAAGAACACGTTTACCAGGAAGAAGAAACAAGTAGAATTTACACGGTACACTCGCCTGTTTATGTACTCTTTGGGTGCCTTGTCATAGATACCTTGATATTTTACGTTACCTTTCAAATTTGAAGAACAGACCACTCAGCAACCAGGTGGTAGTGTTTGGGATCGCACCAAAAGAAAGCGGAAAGCAGAATTCGGGTTCTAGAAAAATCTAAAATACGTGAAAAATAAACGGTAAAAATATGAAGGTTTTAGCTAACACAAACGATGACGGGTTATTCTTCTATGGAATGCGCAAATCAATGAGCAATGAGACATATGAACCTCTCCCTTAATATTCTTGTTAGAAACCACAATCAGAGGTCCAATTGAACTAATCGTGTTTCTATTTGGTGACAGTCGAAGTTCGGACTGGTAGTTATTGAATAGAGTGCTAATCGGGTGAATGAACTCGAAACTGTAGCATTAGAAGTATGTTGCATTTAGAAAGAGCGCATTCGAGGTTATCCGCATGATCGATATCTTCTCATATTTCATTTCCCGGAGTTCCATTTTTATCTTTCTGAGGATTCTAAAGAACCAGCCACTAGCCAAGGAGGTAGCGGCGTTGCGCCAAGCTTCATTTCAGTTTCATTTTACATCACCACAAATCTTACACTGTCATGCAGCTGTTTTGGTTGCCGTCTTTTGGTTACTCATCAGTTCCAAAGCTTCGCAACGTGACTGTATCCCATCAGATATTTGGCTGTACGTAGTAAGAGTAAACGTTCCCAACGGAAAAATAGCATACTGGTGATCTGTTGCAAACGCCTCCCCGTGTTGCTGTCAAGATGCAATCAAGGTATCTATACCACGAGCTAAATGACACACAACAGGGGCACCCACATAGTGATTTGAATTAACGAATCACACACCAAACATTATGCAAATGT